CAAGGAGACAGTGGGAGGCAAATTGATCTTGAAGAAATTCAAGAGTCAAGTGGTGAAGGAACTTCAAACTCTAGCCCTCAACTTGAGGAGGAAACTCCTGTTGAGCCAATTGACGAATCTGTACCTCTGAGGCGTTCCACGAGAGTTAGGAGTGCACCTGAGCATTACTATGGATTCCATATTACTGCAGAAGGTGAGACACTTATTAGTGATGGACACTAGTAAGTCAAGATGACCCTAACAGCTACGAGGAAGCCATGGCAGGCCCCGAGTCTGCTAAATGGAAAGAGGCTATGGATAGCGAGATACAATCCATGTATGACAATCAAGTTTGGAACTTGGTTGAGAATGTACCAGGTCGAAAGACTGTAGGGTGCAAATGGGTCTTCAAGAAGAAGACCGACATGGATGGTAAAGTACACACTTATAAGGCTAGACTGGTTGCAAAGGGCTTCTCTCAAATTCCTGGAGTGGATTATGATGAGACCTTTTCTCCGGTAGCCAAGATTAAGTCTATTCGGGTTCTGTTAGCCATAGCCGCATTTCATGACTATGAAATTTGGCAAATGGATGTCAAAACCGCTTTCCTTAATGGAAAGTTGGCTGAAGATGTTTACATGAGTCAGCCAGAGGGTTTTGTCAGCAACGAGTACCCTAATAGAGTGTGTAAGCTTGAGAAATCCATTTATGGATTAAAGCAAGCACCTCGCAGATGGAATCTTTGCTTTGATGAAAAGGTCAAGGAATTTGGCTTTTCTAGGAGTGAAGATGAATCTTGTGTATATGTCAAGGCTAGTGGGAGTATAGTTAGCTTTTTGGTATTGTATGTGGATGACATACTACTCATAGGAAACGACATTCCAACCCTGCAGGAAGTAAAGTCCTGGCTTGGAAAGTGTTTCGCTATGAAGGACCTTGGTGAAGCTGCCTATATTTTGGGATAAGGATCTTGAGAGATCGGAGTAAAAGACTAATTGGACTTAGTCAAAGTACCTACTTGGATAAGGTGCTGAAGAGATTCAGAATGCAAGACTCCAAGAAAGGAGAGTTGCCCATCCAGAGTAACGCCAAACTGAGTAAGACACAAAGCCCTAGCACTGAGGCTGAGATAGCACAAATGAGTCGAGTACCTTATGCTTCGGCTGTAGGATCGATCATGTATGCTATGACGTGTACTCGACCTGATGTAGCTTTTGCCCTGAGCATGGTTAGCAGGTTTCAGGGGAACCCTGGCAAGGCACACTGGACTGCGGTAAAGAATATTCTCAAGTACCTACGAAGGACTAAGGACTGGGTCCTTACCCTCGGTGGGAGTGATGACTTGAGAGTTGTAGGGTATAGTGATGCTAGCTTCCAGACTGATAGGGATAACTTCCGCTCTCAGTCGGGCTGGGTCTTTACCCTAAATGGAGGAGCAATTTCTTGGAAGAGTTCCAAGCAAGAGACAGTGGCAGATTCTACTTGTGAATCAGAGTATATTGCAGCTAGCGAGGCGGCAAAGGAGGCGTTATGGCTGAGGAACTTCATTGGAGACCTTGGAGTTGTACCAGCTATTAAAGAGCCAATGGAAATTTTCTGTGATAGTGAAAGTGCTGTTGCCTTAGCCAAGGAACCAAGGGATCACGGGAGATCCAGACACATCGACAGAAAATACCATTTCATCAGACATCGGATCGAAGAAGGACTCCTCGTGGCAAAGAGGGTATCATCAGATGAGAATCCGGCAGATCCCCTCACGAAGGGACTGACTCGGGTTAAGCATCTCCAGCATGCTCGGAGCATAGGGCTGAAGGATGATATTAGATTTAGTAGTTAGATAACCTCGAAATTTGTAAAGTGTAATTGACATTGATGATGAATAAAAGTGTTTTATTTATGAGTAAAGTGTTGCTATCTCTTGTCGATCGTTTACTATATTTCTTTTGCATGTTTTGACTTCCAGAATAATTTTGTTTGGTATAACATATTATTCAAACCTCCACAGTCGGTCATATGTCGGAAGTAGTATGAATCAAGACTGTCATGTTTGGTTGTAGAGGTCTTGGACAAGGCTACAACAATCATGAGTGCTCATAAGTTCTGAGCATTGGACTCAACCCACGCTCACTGGAATCACTTCATGGAATTCTATCTCGAGTGATCGTGAGACGGTAATATCATATAAGTCTTAAACCTAGAGATATGATTTGTTACTTACAAGTTGGTTATGCATTGATTGTACGAAAAACGCATTGGTAACTCGATGTTATAAATCGCGCTCTTGTGTGTAATTCAATGAGTAGTAGAACAAACATATGAGTCGAAGTTTATCTGTTCCTTCTTGGATTAGAAGCTGATATCTGGGCCCCTCGATGATTTTGTTTTGACCTATGTACCGGGCCCGGTCAGAACTAAATTGATGTGTTCAATGAAGTTCTTTGTCAAACAAATCGGAAATCGGGAAACAAACTGTTGGACAATAAGTAAGACATTGTTCCATGTATTTGTCCGACTGATATCTAGAACAGAGGATTATATGATCACTTATCTTAAATGGCGTACCATCATCTTCTCAGTTTCGAGAAACCTTGTAAAGAGCTACGATTGCCGATCGGTTCCTGAAGTCATACTTGCAGTAATAGTTATTAGACTTATCCAAGTGGGAGACTGTTGGATAAGGTGTCTAAGTCCATAACTATTTCTGGTATGTACTTGACCCGACCCGGCATGGTCCATTTGGGTTGCATGGCACCATGCAATTGGATAGACTAAATGAGAGAAATAACACTTGGAGATTATTAATATATTATAAGTTCTAATATATTAATAATATTATTTGATTAGTTTGATCAAGAATTAATTTAGAATTAATTATGTGATCAAAAGATAACTAATTAAATATATGGGTTGATTATGTAAATCATCCATATCTTGTATAGTGGGCTAAAAGGCTCCATGGATTATCAAGTTGGGTTCCACCCATAGGATGCTCCATGGATGCTCCATGGGAGTTACAAACCCATGGGTCATGGAAATGAAGAGTCATGACACATTAGGGTGTAACCCTAGATGTGTCAACACTATATAAGGGATCTCATTCTCCACCTAAAATCGGCTACACTAAGAAACAAGAGGGCTTGGCCGATTTTGAGAAGTGTGTGTTCTCTCATAAGTTCTTCCAAGAGCATTTGGTGTTGTGTGAAGCATTTGAGGCATCACACTTGGGGTGCTAGGCTCACAAGGTTTCAAGGAACACAAACAACAATAAGGTAAGTTATTCTATCTATACTTTAAGTTAAAATTGTTCCCCATGTATGCTAGATAGGAATATAACCTTAGAATTCAACTTTACATGATAATTAGACAAACATAGATCTAAGGTTATTAGGATTGCATGTACACATAGGAAGTGTTAGAATGCTCAAAACCCATCACTTACAACAAAAGCTATTTTTTCATAATACAAAACATGGAAATTTCACATTGGTGGCAGCTCACTGTACTTTAAGACTGTGTGAGAGTTGAAGGACCACTTTGAAGGCTGGTTAAAAAAAATAACAAATCGCATATCAAATATCAATGGTCTAAGTTATAAAAACTAAAAAATATATATTATAATTGTTTTTTACCAATTTAAATGATCTATTGCTTGTTAAATTACTTTTCTACATATTATAACTGTTGGCGAGTTGTACCATATGTTAACTCTATTGTACATGTTACAGAACCTTGTATTTGACTAATCAACATTCTGAAGAAGAAATTGCTCAATTATAACACCTTCGTAATGTCATGTATCTGTTAAGAGATAACCTCACACTCTAAATTAAAAGATTTAATTGCAGTTGTAATATTATATTAATTTATGTTTTATTACAGGTGGTGAAAACTCAAAAGATGAAAAAGAACAAACCACATGTACAACCAGAACCCACAAAGGTTCGTGCTTTTTAAATTGACACATTTTATGAAACTTCAATCCATTTTCTTTATTTCTTGTAAATTAACTTTTCAAATGGATATAAAACATGTGATCTTTTGGCAGGTTTAGGAAAATTTACGAATAGCGTACTGAGAACAAACCCAAATACATTCCCTCGATACAAACAATTTCAACAAAGATTGAAGAATTATACAAACAAGAGGTTACTTGGATTTTTTTTTGTTTTAATGAACCAAAATAGGAATGTACTTTGGAAAAATGTACAAAAAATATAGGAATGTAATCCAAATACAAACCATATTTACTACTATAATAACATGTTTTTAAACGATTAATGCTATAATTGGATACAACTGTCAAAGTGCGGGTTAATTAATTTATTATGCTATATATATGTATTGTTGATATGATTTTATGTAGATCTGTATTCTTTTACATTTTTATATCTCAAGCTCACGAATTTATAAAATTTTCCGTATAATTTTACATTGTGAATTTTTTTCACATGATACATTTCATACGAGAGATTGATGGAGTATAATTCGAAGGAGATGGGTACACCTCATGTGTAGGTATACTTTCATTCATTTTAGTCAACAACATAATTTTTTTTCCAAAGGTATTTTGGTAATTAAGTATTTTTGTAGCAAGTGGCCCCGGGCATTGAGGTTAGCAACGACTGGAGGTGGAGCATATCTCGTATATAAGTATAGATGGAGGGTAAGTTTAAAGTTTGTTTCTTTCTTAAACTGATCAAATCTTGTGAAGGAGAGTAAATGACAATTTGTGCGTTTTATACTTAATTCCTTTAGTAATCTTAAATCACATGGTTTGATATTCACTTTCTGGGAAAAAGATTTGTCTTAGTATAATTTGGATTGTTTCTTGAACCTTAGTTACAACACAGTTTGTTCTTAGTTAATTGACCACTTATGCTGCCTTTATCTATGAAATTTATATCCTTATGATATAATAAAAACCATTAAAAAGGAAAACTTATTGAAACTTTTATAGTTTCTTTGGAAAAACTATTAAGTATAAAATAAAGGATGAATTCAATTTCCTCATACCCAACCATATGAACGGTGAAACCCTTAAAACACTACATTTAAAGAATTTGGCAACCATAACAGACCATGGAATGGAGCCTCCAATCCCAATTCTGTTGGAATCTACATATCAGGTATGTCCCTTCGATTCATCTTTTGATAAACAAAAAAAAATCTTATAATTGTTCAACTCATGAAACAGCTGAATGCACTAATGTTGTTGATGCTTTCCAGTATGCAGGTGACAATATAGAGCATGTTGATCACGATATTATTACTTCTGAAATTCTCATTTTTTTTCCATATTTATATACGGATATAATTTAAATTCAATTCCATTCTTGTGTGTTTTTTTTCTTAATTGTTTCATACACCATTATTATAATTTATAACAGGAAATGGGGAAGTAGGCTATGTGAATCAAGCAAATAACATGTACCTCTTCCTCGGGTGAGTGCTTATTTTGTTATTTTTATAAATGTTGTTATAGAAATATGTTCAATATTTATTTATTTATTTAATTTTTTTTATTATATCTGTTCAATATATTTTGTGTATATAGGGTTGGTTTGGGATCTCTATTATCCGATGCTCATTATTTCCGATGGAATGTTGCAAGCTGCTTCTTAATGGTAATTTACAAATAAATTAAATAACTAATAAAATAAACAACATATGTTTATATTTGTTATAAAATATGATCAAATAATAAGATAAATTATAAAAGTAAAGAAAGACATGAGAATAGAGAGAACTTTTATTCCAATACTTGTGATGAAATCATCAAACTTTACAATACATAATATTCACTATTTATACTAGACAAAGAAGATGAAAGGTAGTGTATGATATGAATGCTCATTTTAGTGGTGCATAACTACACTCATAAAACTCATACTAATGTTTGCTATAATGTTCACTAATTATGGAGAGTAATGGGGGAATATGGAGAATCCAATAGTCATTCACTAAATAATAATTCATAACACTCCCCCTTGAATGACGATTGTATCATGCCTCGTTAAACCTTAATCGGTAAAACCTCATGGGAAAAACCCTTTATTAAGGAAAAAGAGTACATGATTAATAATAGATATTCAAAACAATTGCCTCGTTAAAAACCTTGCTAAGAAAACCCAGTGGAAAAAACATAGCTAAGGAAAAGAGTACAATATGTTTCCAACTCCCCCTGATTAGCACATCACTTGATTTTCTTGAAGCATCGCATAGCAATGTTTCGTACCATCTTTTGAAATTTTGATGTATGAAGTGCTTTAGTAAACCAATCAGGAAAGTTGTTACTGGATTGAATTTTCTATATGTTGATGCCACACTCTTTTTAAAGATCATGAGTGAAAAAAAGCTTTGGTGATATATGCTTGGTTCTGTCTCCTTTGATAAATCCTTCCTTGAATGGAGCTATACAAGTTGTTCATATAATATGGTTGGAACATCCCTGTTAGAAGTTATACCACATTTTTTGCAAATGTATTGAGTTAAATTTCTTAAACAAATACATTCATGACTTCCCTTATAAGTTGCTATAATCTCTGCATGATTAGGATAAGTAGCAACTAAAGTTTGTTTAACAAAATGACAAGAAGTTACGTTACCTCGTCAAGTGAATAAAGAACCTGTTTGGGATCGAGCTTTGTGTGGATCAGATAAATATCCAACATCTGCATAGCTAATTAACTTCACATTTTAAGAATTTGATTAGTATAAATTCATATCCATTGTACCTCGAATATATCAAAGAATCTGTTTAACTCTATTACAATATCTTCTTGTTGGACAAGAACTATATCTTTCTAATAAGTTTACGACAAAAGATTTACCAGGTCTTGTATTAATAGTGATATATATTAGTGCACCAATAACACTAAGATATTGTTCTTCGGGAACAAGAAGATTTTCATGTTTTTTATGATGCTGAAATTGGTCCTTTTTGGCATCTAAGTGTGTTACTACCATCGGGGTACTCAATGGATGTGAGTTATCCATATAAAACATTTTAAGCACCTTTTCTAGATAACTAGATTGATGTATAAAAACTCCATTTTTAGTGTGCTCAATTTGAAGACCCAAACAAACACTACTAGAAAAACAGCCATTTACGACGCGCAATCAATGACACGCGCTAATAGAGGACACGCATTTGAGCGTGCTCTAAAAATTGATGTCACTTTTCCAAAATATGAAGCATAGAGGGCACGCATTTTTGTGCGCTCTAAAATTAGTGTCTAAAAAAAACGGAGGGCACCTTAAATAAAATGTGTATCGTCTAACCATGTCGCTTTATAAATTTTAATGAAATGCGCGTTTCATTCTGAGGGGGAAATGAAACCCAAAAATTAAAAAGCCCGCTTTGTTTCCACCGGCTGAAAACCCTAGCTCATCCCCGCTGAAAACCCCCTTTCTTTCTTTATTATCTCTCAAATCTCAAACCTCCATTCACCTTCCGCCATATGCTGCTTCTTCAACCATTCTGAGTGTCTCCCACCGCCGTCGACTTCCAATGAAAGACGACCGTTCTTCCCCATCACCATCTATCTTTCAAATTACTAGACTAACCTCACTACCTTCTTTCATTCACCGCCTCATCCAAATGGATTAATCCTTACACCTTCTGTCGATCGATGTCAAACCTCTTTTGATAATCCACTGCCCATTCACAATTATCTCCATCTCCTTGTGGAAAACCCTCATCCAGTCTAACCTCCACATCATCTAATCGATTAGGGCCACTTTCTTCCACTGATCAACACCAGGTGACGACCGTAGAAGATGGAGATAGAGTCGGCCATAATAGACGTTGGTTGGTCCGCCTCTCTATCGTTTACCAGCATGATCCCCCTTTCTTTCACTCTCAAAACCTAATCCCCATTTTTAATATATGTTTAATTTTTGTATCTGTTCTCACACGAATTTATATTTTTATTGAACCCACCGTTACCAGAAAGTGAGAGGGAAGGAGAAAGACGAACAGGAAGATTTAGGTTGACACACGTATGATGAAGGTTTCAAAGAGTAGAGACGAGCTTTTCTTTGTCCCAAACAACTTGTAAGAATTATTTGCTTCATTGAATATTTCTTCTGTGCCGTAATCAATCTTTCTTCTTGTCATTACTTGATATTGCTTGGTTTTTCTTCTCAACCTAATATGAATGATATCAATCTATTTTATCTATTGAGTTGAATTTATCATAGGTCCTTGCTATCGGTTGTTCTGATGGTTCATGTTTCTTGAAAGAGTCAACTTCTAGAAAAAAAACACGGTGCCTCAATATGTCGATAGCTTTCACATATCCTATTCTCCATATGTACATTTTTTCTACAGCCAATTATGTTTCCTAAAGTTTCTCCTGTTTTTCTCTTCCGTTACCATGACTCTTTCATTACACTTCTTTTGTTGTTTGAAGACCTCCCCTGTACCCTGCTCGATGCGCACAAAGCTTGAGATTAGAGCTTATTCATGGGCTGATAGCAGTGGTTATTCAGATGTTTTCCTACCAGGTGTTTATTTTTTTCCAAGGGTTTATGTGTTGATTATGTTTTTGGTTTGTTTTTACATTACTTTGTCTTGCCCATTTTATATTGAGATTTGAAAGGGTGTTTTACTATGCAGTCCAACTGTTCGATGAAATGCTTGAACCAAGGATTTGTTAGAGTTAATAACTTATAAGGAACTGCATTGGTGCGCCAATATCTTTCTGAGGTTAGAGAAGTCAAGGATTAGGGGAGAAAATAGAGAAGCCACAAGGAAGCTCAGGTCTTGCTTGCAGCTGTAACTGTTGCTGTTGAAATGTTATTTGATAATAGAGGTTCAATACGCCTGAAATTTAAAATTGTAATCATTTTTGGTGGTTTTTATTATAGTATATGTAATAAGGTTTTTTTGGTATTATCATTACTAATGTTGCTGGTTTTTGGAATTTTTTTTGTAGAAATGCCAGTATGTCTGGAGTAATGCAGTTTTTTAGAAATTTCCTTTCTTTTCGGGGTGTTTGCTTCAGAAATTGATCTTTTGGAAGGTACCATTTCTTTTCGGGGTGTCTGCTTTAGAAAAAGTTGATGTGGCTATTATACATTGGATATTACAAGAACACGTACACACCTATTATTACATATTTAGTTTTAGAACATATTAGGACATTATACTTTGATATTCAATCCAAAATCTTTTATTTCCTCTGCTTTGACTGCTTTTCTTATGAACATGGTTTTAGAACATATCATGCAACTCATTTCATTGTCCCTAATCCCATATGTAGAACAGAGAAATTCTTTGTTGTTGTTGCATCTGGAAGGTAAACAACAAACATGAAACATCTCTTGAGTCTCGAGTCTTTACCTTGCTTTGTGATCGGTTTATCCATTTACACAAGATGTTTGGACATATTCTAGTAATCTCTTATGTCTTAATACCCATTATTCGTTATGCTTGCAGAGATCTTGGGAGCCAAGTGATAAAGCTGATCTTCACAAGTCAAGGATCAATAAATAGTTAGCAACAATGGCATACTACCACTTTGTCTACAAATATGTTGAAGGGGCATCATCTCAATAGGATGATATTCAAAGAAAACTTGGCAACTTACCTCCCAAGTGAAAGTTGCAAAGTTTGGGTCAAGTATTCCCATTTCAGGATCCGGTTTTGTGCGTGAGGTATCACAAGATCCATCTAATGTGTGGGTGGTTGTTATTCTATACAAATATGGGTAATCACTAATTCATGAATACATATCTAAGTCTCCGGATGAGTTAGTGTTTAGAAACGAGTTCTTTTTGTTGTAGTTAATGGTTTGGATATCATGGAGAAGCCAACTATTACACATATATATGACGCAGAGTGGTAACAATATTCATTATCGTTTTAAAAATAATTAATAGTAATATGTTTATATTATTGTTGTTGTTGTTATTATTATTATTATTATTATTATTATTATTATTATTATTATTATTATTATTATTATTATTATTATAGATGATGATTCAATTTTTTTTTTTGATGTATGTAGGTTCAAAAGGTTGACTGGTAGAAGTGATGTGGCAGTTTCACCTCGTGACTATAAGTTTTATGCCCCAAGACATAAGTATACGAACAATAGCATCTTTCATAGCAACCTGCACTCGATATCAATTTCATATTTTTTATAAATCAACTAACCATGAAATACCCAAAATTACAAAAAAAGGACAGAGTTTACTAACTCACCTGCACTGTTGATGTAAAAGAAGCAAGCTTTTTCCCCACCAGGCTGATTGCTACAGACTCACAAATTTCTCAGCAATCTCTTCAGCCTGTGCCCCAAAAGGGTAGATTTTGACATACAAACTCAAACTCAGATATCATTCTCCCTTGAAAACTATGTGTTGCTTATTAATGTTGCTAATTTTTTATTCATTCTCGTTAACTTCATATTGGGTGTTGATGACCATGGTAATGATTCTTCATTTTGTTTATGATTGTGATTTGACAGACAAGGCTGCAAGCACAGGCTGCTGGTGTAGCATACTCGCATCCAATGACTAATCTTACGAGTCGAATGGCCGTTTTTGGACCAAACATGGTATGTTTTCTTTGTAATATTTGATAGAATGTTGTGCAATCTTGATAATCATGTAATTGTTTGTTTTAGATGTTTACGGATCTAAGATGTTCTCCATCATGTACGCGTGCTGGGGTACATGGTACAGTGTCCATTTGTCCTCCAGATTGCTTTGAGTACAAAGGAACACTTGATGTTTTCTACAAAGTTATTCGGCAGGTTGGTCATCTTCTTCCTCTTATATATATTCTGTAGTCCAACACTTTTCTAATTGTTGATCATTTTAAGATTTGTGAGTGTCTTTTTAGGAAGGATTTGGAAGATTATGGCGAGGCACCAATGCTGGCCTTGCATTGGCTATACTAACTGTAAGTCCCTGATTTTTTTTCCTTTTCTTCCATTAATGAATGCTTAATGATAATATTTTGTTTGAACAGGTGGGAATCTATTTGCCTTGCTATGACATCTTCCGGAATTGGTTTGAAGAGTTTGCAGCTGAAAATGCTCCAAGCATGACACCGTATGCCCCTTTGCTGGTTGGATCATTGTCACGCTCAGTTTAGGATGAGATGAAAAGGTCTATATATTACAATACCCTTTATATGTATATCATGAAAATATTAAAAATGAAGGGCAAAACAGTCATTTTACGTCTGCGTTACTTTTTTTGAAGGGCTCTGGTCTGAATTATGTAGACAGCGAAGGCGGACGTCTCAAGGGAACTAATATTTTTTTTTTTAATTTAATATTTTTCTTTTTTCTTAATTTAATATGTAGACAGTGAAGGCGGACGTCTCAAGGGACTAACAAACCATCTACTGAGTCGACACAGGCATGCTTTCAAAATTCGAATAATATTTTTCTTTTTTCTTTTTTCTTAATTTAATATTTTTATGTTTGTGACAACAGCTTTTATCTTTTGTACCCACCCGTGGAAGACACTCCTGTGGACTTGTCGCTTGCTCCAGAAGCACCTTCAAAATCGTCGATGGTCCCGCTAGCTCCGCTGTCGGAAATCCAGGTATTTCTCACTTCATATTGATACTGAAGTGAATTTACAACCCCTTTAAAAGCAAAACTATTTATGCTATGATCACAATTGATCGGAGTCTTTTTAATGATGGATTGATAATAATCTTTCTAATTCAGTCACTACTGCATTGGATAAACAAGAATTTAAGTGTTTTTCTAGCTATGTTAACTGATTACGTTGTGTGTAGATGTTAATTAGGTTTTATTATCGAATTTTGCATTTTGAGTTTTAAAGTTAACTGCTTACGATAAATACCTTGTGAAACTACTGTAAAAACGAACCAGTACTAAACAAATTGGAGATTTGTTTTTTATAATCTAAAATCACATAAAAGAACTGCAAAACACATCTGATCACCTGCACATATTGAGTGTAAAGATGAAGGATTATGACTTTAGTTGTGCTTGTTCAAATGCTTTCAGATGAAATTGCAAAAATTTTCCCATCCCTGTTTGGGCAACCATCAGCAATATTGGTGCCAGGTGAATCTAATGAATCAGGATCTGCCTTGAAGATAGGAGTTGTGTTGTCAGGAGGACAAGCACCAAGAGGGCATAATGTTATATATTTGGGATGTTTGGTTAGGATTTTGAACTTCCATTTCCTATTGTTCATATTTTTCATACTTCATATGATAGATTGAAGGATTGACTAGTAAACAACAACAATATTGGTGCCAGGTGAATCTAACTAGTAAAGAAAGTTGAAGGATTGACTAGTAAACATAAAAGTAGAATGAAAATGACAAGTGATTTTGTGTTGTGTTTACAGGGTTGATGAAAGCGAATAGCTCTCGAGTTAGAAGTGGAAAAGAAAGCTCAAGCCGAAAGAGATAAGATGCTGAAAATGCAAGTGTTGTATTCTTCATTTCAATTGTTAGTATGAAACATAGAGTATATTAGATGAATGCAAATTTATATATTGTAAGAAATAGAATTGTATGACATTAAAGTTTATGCAATGGATTGTATTTTTTTATATATGGTATATTATTTCTATTATGACACATTAAATGCAAATTTAATTTAAAAATTAATAAATATATAAATATATTTTTTTTAAATATCTAAATTTACGATACGCAAAAATGTGTGTCATTTACATTTATGACATGGCCTTTCTTGACAGGGGCTTTCTTGATACGCATTGCGTGTCATTAACACGTGCGTCGTAAGGTTACGACACGCGAATGCGTGGCGTCTTCCTTTATGACAGGGCCTTCCTTGATACGCATTGCGTGTCGTAAACGCGCGTCGTAATTGCGCGTCGTAAATGAGCGTCGTAAATGCGCGTCGTCTCTCTTTATGACAGGGCCTTCCTTGACGCGCATTTGCGCGTCGTCTGAGCCTTTTACGACGCGCAATGAGCGTTGTAAAAGGCTGTTTTTCTAGTAGTGAAAATTTCATTTTACCAAGATCTTTCAGTTCAATTTTTTGTTCTTTCAAACAAGAAGTGGCATTTTCCAATTCTCCAAGAGTTCCAATTATGTTCAAATCATCTACGTAAACAACAATTATCACAAATTCTGATCCAAATCTTTTTATGAATACACATGGACTTAATGGATCATTTTTATAGCACTCTTTCAACAAAAATGTACTAAAACAATTGAAGCACATATGGCCAGATTATTTCAATCTATAAAAAGATTTATTTAATTTTACCAAATATACTTCACGAGAATTAGAAGTTTGTGCTCCTAGCACCTTAAACCCTTCTGGGATTTTCTTATAAATATCATTTCAAGTAAACCATATAAATAGGCAGTAAATACATCCGTTAGACACATCTCCAGTTTTGCATATGTTGTTAAACTTATAAAATAACTGAATGTAATTGCATCAACTACCGGAGAATACGTTTCTTCATAATCAATTTCGGGTCTTTGGGTAAAACCTTGTGCAACAAGTATTGCTTTATATCTCACAACTTTATTTTTCTCTTTTCTTTTGCGCACAAATACCCATTCGTGTCCAACTGTTCTTACTCTGTTTGGTGTACGGACTACAGGTCCAAAAACTTTTCGTTGAGTAATAGAATTAAGCTCTTTATTTATTTCATCTTTCCATTTTGGCCAATATTTTCTATTCATACATTACTCAATAGATTTAGGTTCAAGATCCCCATTTTCTTTATAATCGCGCGCGGAACATGATATGAAAAATTATCGTTTACATCTATCTTATTTTGGTTCCATCTTATTTTTGTCATGACATAATATATTGAGATCTCATCAGTTTCATTTTTTTTCAGGTACCTTATTTTCTTTTGTTATGTCATTAGGCTCTTCTAGAGCTCCATTAATCTTTTCAAGAGATTATATTTTATCTTTTAGACCATCAATTGTATTTGCTTTATTTCATTTTCGAGGATTTTTATCTTTGGAACCGGCTGATCTTCCACGCTTCAGGCGTGCCTAAGATTCATTTTCAGTTATATTTTTTTTCTTCCTTCTGGGATATCAATTCTAACTTGAGTAAGTATAGCTGGTACATGAAACTTTGTTACCCACTTAGGGTCAGTAAATGCTTCTGGCAATTGATTTGCTACATTTTGTAAATGAATTATCTTTTTTATTTCAAGTTCACATTAACTGAAAGTGACAATTCCTTTCAAGACATTTTATTTTCCAGCTTCTTTATTTCTCCCCCTAATGTTGGAAAATATGATTCATCAAAATAATAATCATCAAATATAGCTGTAAATAAATCTCCAATTGATGATTTTAAATATCTTACTATAGATGGAGATTCATATCCAACATAAATTCTCGTTCTTCTTGAGGACCCATTTTTGTGAAGTGAGGTGGAGAAATGAGTACATAAATTATACATCCAAACATCCTTGGATGGTAAATAATTGGTTACTGACCGCAAACCAATTGAAAAGGGGAGAACTCATGATAACAAGTTGTCATTATGCATATAAATGATGTTGCATGTAAAATTGCATGCCCCATGTCAATATAGGAAGTTTAGAATGCTTTAGTAATGGTCTTGCAATTAATTAAAGGTGTTTGATTAACGACTCAACTAAACAATTTTGTGTATGATCATATGCAACATGATGTTCAATAGTTGTCCTAATCGACATGGAATAATCATTAAAAGCTTATGATGTAAATTCTCCAACATTGTGAAGTCAAATTTTCATAATTGGGTAATCAGGAAATTGTGCCCTTAGGCAAATTATTTATGCAAGCAATCTTGCAAAAACCAAATTACAACTAGACAACAAGCACACATGTGATCATCTAGTTGGCTCATCAATTAAAACCATAAAATATCTAAATGCTCCACATGGTGGTTGAATTGGTCCACATATATCCCTTTAAAATCTTTCTTAAAACTATGACTTTCATATCCAACTTTGCTCAATGATGGATGAGAAATTAATTTTCCTTAAGAGCATGCAACACAAGAGAATTCATTAGCTTGAAAAATCTTCTGGTTTTTCAAGGAATGATCACTTGAAGTTTCAATTATTTTGCGCATCATAATTTATCCGGGATGGCCCAACCGGTCATGTCAAGGTATTATCATACCTTTTTTTTATTTTCAATAGCATGAATCATTGTAATATTTGTATAGTACAATCCTAAGATCAAAACAGGTAATTTTTCCAAAATACTTTTCTTACCCGATATCATTTTTTTTAATGTTGAGATAATTTTTATTACCATCATTAGTTTTTTCAATATGATATCTGTTACACTGAATATCCTTAAAACTTAATAAATTTCTTGGTGATTTTAATGAAAATAATGAATCACCAATTGTAATTATTGTTCATTGTTGTAATATTATATTCGCTCTTCCAGGGCCTTCAATCATTTTTGCATTACATGTAATTATATTAACAATTGCTTCTCTAATTGATAAGTAAGCAAAATATTTGCATTGTCTGTAAAAAATATATCTTCCTTATTTCTTTTGCAAATATTCATATATCTTTTCAATAAATAAGTAAAATACAAGATACATTCAACTTAGAGAAATAAAGTCATATTTTATTAATTTGGGAAGATTGTGACGACATCATTTCTCATGAAACGAATATGACATAAAAACATAATAAATGTCATGAAACAAAACTACACATTTATTCTGATCAATCACCATCCATATCACCACTTGTCCCTTCCAGGTAAACAAGAAAATCGACAACATCCAAATGTGTCATTTCTGGTTGATCTTCATGAATCACTTTGAATAAAATTTGTTTCGATATTTTTCTTTATATTTTAGAGAATCTTGATAAAGATCAACAAAATGCTTTGGTAAGCGGTATGTACAAGACCATATTTTCCAACTTCTGGTGGTTACTTGTAATATTGTTATTTTTATGATAATTATGATAACCTCCACGACCTTGGTTAGACCTATGACTATTATGATTATATGATGTTGCATTCACTTCAGGGAATGCACTAGAACCGGTCGGGATTGATCGATGATTTTTAATCAATAACTCATTGTTTTGTTTAGCCATAAGAAGACATAAAATTAATTCATATTTATTTTAAACATTTCTCATCATATTGCTACTGCAGGAGCATGTTAGTAGTATGAAAACTAGAGAATGTTTTCTCTAGCATTGTTTTCCATAATGAAAATAGAAATCAAAATAAAGACTTGTATGTTAAGGAATTGTTAGTTAAGAAATTCCATAAAATAAGTTGTAAGCATTGTACATGTAAAATTATAAAAAAATACATACCTGAAAATTACAAGAATAATAAGGAGTTACAGCTCTATGGTAGAGTCGTGCTGATAACGTGTTATAAAATATGATCAAATAACAAGATAAATTATAAAAGTAAAGAAAGACATGAGAATAGAGAGAACTTTTATCCCAATACTTGTGATGAAATCATCAAACTTTACAATACATAATATTCACTATTTATACTAGACAAAGAACATGAAAGGTGGTGTATGATATGAATGCTCATTGTAGTGGTGCATAACTACACTCATAAAACTCATAATAATGTTTGCTATAATGTTCACTAATTATGGAGAGTAATGGGAGAATATGGAGAATCCAATAGTCATTCACTAAATAATAATTCATAACAATATTTAATCTTCTATGAATTATCTGGAAATAAAAGTAATGGTATCATAATATTTGTTATATGCCAGCTAATATAATTTTTAACTTTTTTTTTTCCATACAGTCTTGCTTCTTAATATGACAGAAGAAGAAATTCAGATGAGCAGAGTTTATCCGTCTATTGATAGGTACATACATGATGTCTCTATTTTTATTAGGAAGGCTATTTTAGACATTTATCTAGGGTACATATGGTTTTTATATATTATTTTTCTTTATTAAAGGGTAGGCATGATTTCTTTGTTACTTAAAGGTTGTTACAAGTACGATTTCTATACTTTTGCCTTTGTTGAAGGGTATTTTGGACATTTAATATATAGTTAAAACATTTTTTTAAATGGTACACATGATCTATGCTGGAGTTGCGAAAGAAACATGAACAACTTATCAAAAACCTCAAAAAACAAATCGACAAATTCCCCAACGACATCCATCCTTACATGTTTACTGCATCTTCCCAGAAACCATCTTTTGCTAATGTAGTGATCTGATGCGATCATCTTTTGCTAATATACTCCTTGCTATGTAACTGATATTAACATCCACTTCATATATGTAATGTCCTTTCATAAATATTATAATATGGTTACTTATCTACTAAAGTTTCAAATACAAAAGAAAACAAGGTACACAGCGCCAACAGCGCATCTAATTCCATTTAGTTAATATGAAATCATATGTTTTTAATTAGTATTGATCAAGAATTAATTTGGAATTAATTTAGTGATCAAAAGAGACTAATTAAATCTATGGGGACTAATTATGGTAATTAGTTATATTTATATGTGTTGGGCTTATGATCAATGTTGGACCAAGTTTATGTATGGACAC